GTGAGGCAATGGTGAGCACACACAACACAGCTAGGAGAACTGTGAGGCAGTGGTGAGCACACACAACACAGCTAGGAGAACTGTGAGGCAATGGTGAGCACACACAACACAGCTAGGAGAACTGTGAGGCAATGGTGAGCACACACAACACAGCTAGGAGAACTGTGAGGGGAAGCAGACGGCAGCAATTCCCTATACAGGCTACCACTGAAAACTGTCATGTTGACAACACATACACACACAACGCACAAAGTAACATGCACACACAACACACACACACACACACACACACACACACACACATACACACACACATCAGAAATCATGATCCACGTCCTTGCAGCATACAAAAAACAAAAACATTTTGTCCAGTGAATCAATAGCGAGGAACAGGTCACCTACCACGTGTCACCTACCACGTGTCACCTACCACGTGTCACACCAAATGTACATCAATGGAAGAAATAGATAATATATAAAACACATCACAGGAAGAAATATAGATATATAAAATACATCACTGGAAGAAATATAGATATATAAAATACATCACTGGAAGAAATATAGATATATAAAATACATCACTGGAAGAAATATAGATACTAAATACATGAAGGTCTTTCGACAGCCTCATCTACAACACAAGTTAGATTTGCAGAGGTAAAAAGATGTACGAATAGTTACGAGCGAAAGTTGTGAGTGTGTGTGTGTGTGTATGAGTGTGAGAGCGCGTATGTGTGTGAGTATGTGTGTGCGCGCATGCGTGTGTGTGTATGTGTGTGCGTGCACGCGTATGTGTGTGTGTATGTGTGTATGTGTGGGTGTGTGTGTGTATAATATGTGTGTATGTGTGTGTATATGTGTGTGTATGTGTGTGTGTATATGTGTGTGTGTATGTGTGTATGTATGTGTGTGTGACTCATGCATGCAGAGACGGTATACGTGAGGTCGACGGGCCATGCGGGTATGTGTGTGTGTGTGTGTGTGTGTGTGTGTATGTGTGTGATTGTGTGTGTGTGACTCATGCATGCATAGACGGTATACGTGAGGTCGACGGGCCGTGAGCAGACTCATCCTTCCCCGTGCGTACAACAGTGAGACATTTTTCAGTGCAAGCTGTGTGTTCGTCAGTGTGATCTATGAGTACGTCAGTGTGATCTATGTGTTCGTCAGTGTGAGCAGCGACCTGAAACAGCGCGCCGGGCCCCGACACACAATGTGGCAGGAACAACAGCACATTTCTGACGGCCTCATGCAAGGAGCGACCACACACAGAGTTCACACACAGAGTTCACACACAGAGTTCACACACAGAGTTCACACAAAGAGTTCACACAAACATTCCGGGCAAGCAGAGGAACAAGTTTTCTGGCTCACGGCAATCCTCGGGAGGACAAGGGAGAAGATTCTGGGGGCAAGTGTGTCACATTCTGGGATGTCCAGATTGATTTGTGGCAGTTTCCGTTCTTCAACTTGGTCAATTCCAAGTTTTCACAAATGTCAGTTTCCAGCAACTACCAGAGCTCCAAGCCCTGAGAGAAAAGC